AGAGAAAGCAATTAAACAGGTAGAAAAACTAGGAAACCAACAGCAAGTAAATAACATGACAATGATAAGTCAACACATTACTGGTTATAACCATAAATGTAAATGGCCTCAATTCACCAGTCAAAAGAAACAGACTGGCAGAGTGGATTAAGAAACAAAATCCAATGATATGCTGTCTACAGGAAACACATTTTACTCAAAAGGAAAGCCACAGACTGAGAGTCAAAGGATGGAAAACAATCTTCCATGCAACAGGAACCCAGAAAAAAGCAGGTGTAGCTATTATGTTTGCAGACAATGTAAACTTCAAACCGACATCGAAAGAGATAAAGAAGGTCACTACATAATTGTTAGGGGAAAACTGCAAGAGGATGAGATATCATAAACATGTATGCACCAAATATTGGAGCACCAAACTATATAAGACAAATCTTAACAGACATGAAAACTCATATAATTAATGACACTATTGTAATAGGGGACCTCAACACCCCTTTGAAACAAAGAGATAGGTCAACTGGACAAAGAATCAGCAAGGAAATAACAGATCTGAACCAAAGCTGCGAACAAATGGATTTAGTAGATGTATACAGAGTGTTGCACCCCACCACATCAGAATACACATTTTTCTCAGCTGCATATGGGACTTTCTCTAAAACAGACGACATTCTAGCCCATAGAGCATACCTACTCAAAAGCAAAAGAATTAAAATTACCCCATACATATTATCTAACCACAGTGCAATGAAATTGGAAATTAACAACAAAAGAACTCCAAAAACTCCACAAACACTTGGGAAATTAAATAACAACCTCCTGAACAACTAATGGGTCAGAGAAGAAATTAAAGAAGAAATTTAAAAGTACCTACAAACAAATGAAAATGTAGATACAACTTACCAGAATCTGTGGGATGCAATGAAAGAAGTCATCAGAGGGAAATTTATAGCAGTGAACTTACAACTCTACTACATTCTGGGAAGGCAAAGGCAGGCTGATAGTAAAACGATCAGTTTTTGCCAGCAGTTGGGGAGGGAAAGATGAACAAACAAAATATGAAATGTTTAGGGCAGTGAAACTACTGTATATGATGATAAATGGTGATAAATGTTTTTATACATTTTTCCAAGTTCACAGAATGTATAACACCAAGAATGAACCCTAATATGAAGTACAAATTCTGGGTGATGTTGAACGAATACAGGTTTATCAATTTTAACACTGTACCACTGGAGTATGGAATATTTATAGTGGGGGAAGTTAGGCATGTATAGGAGCAGGAACATGTCCCTAACTTTTCAGTTTCGATGTGAGCCTAAAACTGCCCTAATTTACATGAAATACATAAGATTGTTTAAAGTAATAATTATATTGTTAGATTTCTATTATTTACAGGTACACACAATAGCACAACAGAGTGTGGACAATGGAAATATATGGGAGCAAAGCTGTTGTAGTGTACTTGAATAAACCCATCCATAGGTTGTGGTAAGTCAAAGACATGCAATCCTTTGACCAGGGATTAAGAAATATAGTGGTACCTTAGCACTTGTCATTAATTGGTCCTGGGAGGTGCAACCAGTATCAAAAATGAGTTCCAAACAAATTATTTTGGCTGTAAAGGGTAGTAAGTCATGATGCAATGAAATGGACATCAACAAATTCTACCTTGCACATTGTGTAACAAATGATGAGTGCTGGGACATTTACATGTCTAAATCTGTCAAGTACCAAATTTGGTGAGTTTCAAAGCACTAAAACAATAAATCAAATAAGCTATTTATCAGGAACCAGTAAAGATGAACACAGAAACAACAAAAAACCAGGAGACACAGTAAAATGGCAGACATAAATCTACCCGTATTAATAATTGTACTAAAATGTAAATAGGCTTCAAGATCTAATAAAAAGATAGAAAAAATTTTAAACAAAAGACACTAGACTCAAAGAGGGTGAAACAAAATGGAAGTTATGTCAGGTACACAGCAACTAAAACAGGGCTGAAAGGGCTGAAGTGGTTATACAACTATCAGACAAAACAGACAAGAAATATTCACAGAGACAAACAGGGACACTTCACATTGATAAAAGGGCCAACTGTAAAAAATGTTTTCTAGGATAGACTAACTACTAAATCATAAACAAGTCTCAATCAATTTTAAATCATACAAAGTATGTTCTCAAACCACAAAGAAATTATCAATAAACGAAAGAAATTTGGGGAATTTCCAACATTTGAAATTAACACATCATAGCCAGGGATAGAGGCACACAACTGTAATCCCAGCATTCTGGGCGGCTGAGACAGGAGATTGCCCATTTGAGCCCAGCCTGGCCAAGTTAGCAGCAACTTAATGAGATTCTGTCTAAAAAAAAAATAAAAGTAACATGTTTCTATTAATGGGTGGGGGGAAAGACCACCACAAGGAACTTTTAAAAATATCTTGAAAGTGAAAACACATATATCACCTTTTAAGAGAAACTGCTAAAGAGAAACTTAAAGCTTTAAACACAGAAAGAAAACTTAAAATCAACCACCTCAGCTTCCTACGCAAGAAGTCAGAAAAATACACTCAATCACACTCCAAGCAAGCAGAAGGCAGCAGAGTAAAGATAAGAGTGGAACTCAACAAATTATGAAACAAGACAATAAAATTAATGAAAGCAAAAGCTGATTTTCTGGAAAGATCTGAAAACTTAACAAACCTTAGCTGAACTGACCAAGAAAAAAAGAAGACATAAATTATTAAAATCAAGAGTAAAACATGGAATGTTACTGTAGACCCTTATTGATAACTTTACACAAACAAAATTGTAAATTTTGATGAAACAGAAAGTTACAAATTACCAAAACTGATGAGAACAGAAACAAAAAAATAGTAAAGGGCTGGGCATGGTGGTGCACATCTGTAATGCCAGCATTCGGGAGACCGAAGCAGGAAGATTACTGCAAGTTCCAGGCTAGCCTGGGCTACATAGTGAGTTCAAGGTCAGCCTGGACTACATAGCAAGACCCTGTCTCCAAAAAAAAAAAAAAAGTAGAAAGACCACTGACTAAAGTAGAAATAGATTTTAATCATTAATATACTTTGAAAAAGATATTATCTAGTTTGTGTTTTTCATTCCTTTGGTTGAAATATCTACTCCTGTGAGTCTCTGAGCTGATGATCATTTGAAAGTTATTTGGCAATGCAGCCAACAGATCAACTTGTAAATTCATGATTCTAGAACAAATGCTATAGAAAGGCTCAACTGTTAACCTGTCATTATTGGACTGTTCAAAATGTCTATTACAGTCTATTATTTATGAAGTATAAAAATCGTATGCCTAAATATAACTAATCAACATTCAAAAACTGAGACATTTTCAAGGAAAAGAGATATTTTTTGGTGGTCCAATATCTAATAAAAAAAATAGCCTGGCCTGGTGGTGCACACCTACAATCCCAGTATTCTGGAAAGTTGAGAAAGGGGGACTTTAAGTTTGAGGTCAACCTGGGCAATTCAGCAACTTAGCAAGAACCCATCTCATTTAGAAAGAGCTAGGGATGTAGTTCAGTGAAAGGCCCTGAATCTCTCATACTTGCTCCCTCAGGTATTTGTAGGTTTAATCTTTATGCAACAGAAGCTTGCACAATAAGGCTAAATCTTTATTTGAAGGTAAATCTTATTAAGCTGCTTAAAGTCTGAATAAAGCTCTCCTTCTGGTAATCTGATCCTAGAAAGAAAAAAGTAAAATATAAAAACTAGAGATAGCCTATTTGATAACAATATATTATTTTTACCTTAGAAAGAAATCCCACAGACAATACAATTTTCTGAGTGTTGATATGCATGTAATACATACTTATGGCTAATTTGTGACATTTCTTTTTACTTTAGCAAGTAAATAGAAAGGGGTGAGGTCAGAGATGGGCTGGGGCAAGGGATTAGAAAACCCCACACAGAGCTCGAGTCTTATTGTACTTGTGTTAGAATACTATCAGAATTAAGTAGGAAAACAGTACAATTTGGATTAAAAGGTAAAAATCATCCTGGCTGCCATGTGGAGACTGGCTATGTTAGGCAGCAGTAACATGAAAGGTTAAGTGATGGGGTTTTAACTACACTGGTGACGATGATAAACACCCTGCCTCAATCAAACTCTTAAAATATCCTAACAGCCTCTTGAGGTAGGCAGTATTATTTTCTTTTTTTAACAGCAGGTACTACTACCTTCAAGTATCTTCTCAAGTCAGAATTACATTAAATAACTGGCTGTACTGGGACTCAAGCCCTACCTATCTGGCAAAAGAACACGGCTCTTTCATCTATAGTAGTAAGATGAACAGAAGAGGATGAAGTAGTAAAAAGTTATGGGGTTAGAGTTGCCGTGACTTGTTAATGCGTCAGAGGTACAGACAAATAGAAGAATGACTCCTAGGTTTGTTTGAGCAAGTAAGTGAATTTGGTAGTCTAATTACATAAAGGCAAAATATGAAGTAGGGAATGGGGCCCCAGGACACAAAACTCAGCACACTGCAGCATTTAAAAGTTGAACCGAGGAGAAAAAAGCAAACCACCCAATGTTGAGGACGAAATATGAGAGAGCACAAAACTCAAGACACTACGTATTTCAAGGAGGAGGATGCAACATGGAAAATGCTGTTCAGAGACTCTGTAGGTGAGAACAGGAATGTGACTATGGGATTTTGCACGGCAGACACACCCGGTGAAGCGGAAAAGAGCAGCATCCCCTGCATTTACTTTACCACCGTACTTACCTTGCTACTGTCTGCCTCATTTCTAGACCAACAACAGTTCCTGTGCAGTAACTGAGTTTTACTTCAAACTCCCTATCTTCTACCACCATGCTTGCAGTAGAACTGAAATTACACACAGGCTAAAGAATGGAATGGAAATGCTAAATTAGCTCACGGAATGTTCTGGTCCTGAGACTGAGGTGACAATTTCAGTGACTGACATGCACTCCTCTACATTCCACCTCCTAACTCACATACCGGGAGAGATCCGTTCTGTGTGCTGGGTGAGTTGCTGGTCTGCTCCCCATGGGCTTGCGTACTTCCATAGAGTGTCAGGTTATGCTCACTGGTCTGGCCGGCATAGTCCTGAGTGTGTGGCACTCCATATTCTGTAGGAATTCCGTTCTGTGGAGGTGGTGGGAATGGGATGGTAGTAAAAGGCTGAACCATTGCTTCAGGAGTTGTTGTTGGCTCCTGGCTACCCTAGAATAAATGGGGGATAAGAAGGGAGAACTGCTTTATTTAAATCATTAATTGCCACATAATTAAGGGAAAAATCTCTTAAGTGAACTAAATACCTGATGAAAAAACAAAATCAACAACCAAATAAAACCTTCTCAACTTCTATTCCAAATGTGTAAAATGTAACTTGAAAAAAAGAAGATGTAATTATAACAGTTAAACTATAAAACTTCTAAAAACAAACATAGGAAAATCTTCTCTCAAATAGCAGTGAATTCTTAGGATATAAAAAAACCAGAATCATTAAAAAAAATCAATACACTGAACTACTTAGAATTTAAAAACATCTGCTTTTTGAAAGGCAGAAGAATAAAGGACAAGACAAAGACTGGGAAACAACATTCACAATATATAAATCTTACAAAGGACACATATCCAGAATTCATAAAACACTGTTATAGATCATAATAAAAAAAATTTTTTAAAAAATGGGCTAACGTTTTCCCAGAAGAATTAAAGACATCATACCACAGCGATACATGTGCACCCATGTTTATAGCAGCACAATTTGTTATAGCTAAATCCTGGAAACAACCCAGATGCCCATCCACTGAGGAATGAATAAAAAAGATGTGGTATTTTTATACAATGGAGTATTACTTAGCTATTAAAACAGATAATCTCAAGGCTTTTGTAGGTAAATAGATGCAACTAGAGACCATACTCATAAGTGAAATAAATCGGACCCAGGTGGGTAAACATCATGTTGTCTTCTTGGTGTAGGAACCTGAAAGCCTAGGTAAAACTCAAAACGTACAAAAGATGATAGGAAAGGGAAAGAAATTGCTCAAAGGAAGAACAACTGGGATGAGGGAAAGAAGAAAAAAGGAAGAAGAAAGGCAAAATATAAATATATATATGAATAGCTGTGACAACTGTATTGCCAATGTCTGATGGTGTCCTGAACAGTTAATGATTACAATTTTTTATGTTCTGATGGATTGTGCATGCTTGTGTCTGGTGGTCTGAGCAACTGATTTGAAGGTAACAATATGCAATGGAATTACAATGGTGAACTCCTACCAGTTTGTCTAGTGAAACTCTGTATTATCTCTACTGTTTTATCAAAGAATTATTTTCTTATTCCCTATAATGGTTTGAAGCCGGGCGTGGTGGCACACGCCTATAACCCCAGCACTCAGGAGGCTGAGGCAGGAGGATCCTTGGGAGTTCTAGGCCAGCCTAGGTTACAAAGTGAGCTAAACGCCAGCCTCAACTGCATAGCAAGACCCTGCCTCAATAAATAAATACATACATACAAACAAACAAAAACAAAAACCCTATACTGTTTTGAGCAATCTTTCATTGTTACGTCAGGTAATCTGAGCAATGTAGTTGAGGACAGTGATATGTAATATAACAACCACTGTTGATTCATATTATTTTGTCTTAAGAATCTGCATCACTTTGAATGTTCTTGCTTTGATTTGTTTGTTTGTGATACTGGTATGCTGCTACTGTTCTATTTCTTTGTTTCTCATTTACTGCTCTCTTTAAAAAAAAAGAAAAAAAGAAAAACATGGGCTAACAGCTGGGAATAATGGCGCATGCTTGTAATCCCAGTATTTGAGAAGCGGAGGCAGAAGATTGCTCTAAGTTTTGAGGCTAGTCTGGACTACAGTTGTTCATTCAAGGCCAGCCTGAACTACATAGCAAGACTCTGTCTCAAAGGCAGGGTTAGGGGGTGGCTAACAACTTTTGACAGTTACTTTCTACAAGAAGATATAAAAATGGGCAGAAAATACATGAATAGGTGAAACTCAACAGTAATCACCAGGGACATGAAACTAAAACCAAAGTGAGATTTCATTTTACAACAACTAGAATATCTAAAATATAAAACTGAAGTCACCAAATGTTGAAAGACACACAGAAGAACTTTCATACTTTACTTGTGGCCATGTAAAATATATTTTCTAACTTCCAGAAATGTTTTCCAGTTTTACTTTTTTAAGTTAAAACATTGTGTTTACCTAAAAGAAATGAAACCATGTCTCCACTAACATCTGTATAAGAATGTTCATGGAAGCATCATTCATAATAGCCTCTATTGAAAAGAACTATGTATCAACAGGAGAATGGGTAAACAAATTGTGGTCTATTAATAAAATGGAATGCTCCTCAGAACTTAATCTTGTGCTGAATGAAGACGTTAGCTAGAACATAACACATATGATATAATTCCACTCATAAGTATCAGAACAGGAATAACTAAACTATAGAACAGAAATGAGAATAAACTTGCTTCTGTTTTGGAGTGGAAAAACACTGACTGAATTTTGGTATACTGAAACACTCTACAATGATGGAATTGTTATATTATCCTATTATGGTGATGGTCACACAGATTTATCAAACTGTTTAAAACTTATTAAAATATTTGATAAATGTTATTGAGTATACCAAAGAAAAATGAAAAATAAGATAATAAACAGCCACAATAAACATAATAAACTATTTCATGTTAATGTCACTGTTAACAGCCTAATGACCCACCCATCACCATTATTTTGCATATAATACAAATGAAATAAAAATAAAAATTATATATCAATTATCCTTATAAATATGATTATATACTTAGAAAATCCAGATCAGTAAACTATAAATCAGCAGACCTCGTAATAAAAAACTTACAAACTTTATTATAACTATTTTTAAATTAGCAATAACCAGTTATTCAAAAAGTGACTGTTAATACTATAATATAAAACATACAGTATACAATATAAAACCTAAATAAAAATTGTATTTTAAACAAGGATTTAACATAAAAATGTTAACATCCCAAAATAAAATACAAATGTAAGTTCCCAATGATGTCTAGTGCAAGTGTATTAAATGTTTTTTATAGGGAAACTACCAAGAAAGTCTGAAAAAAAGGAAAATTTGGGAAAGGAGACATGCTTTGTCATATATTAAAACTTGTCATAGGCTGGGCGGCATAGCACATGCCTATAATCCTAGCACTTCGGAGGGTGAGGCAGGAGGATTGCCGTGAGTTTGAAGCCAGCCTGGGCTACTAGCAAGTTCAAGAACAGCCTAGTGAGACCCTTGTTTCAAAAACAAAAAAAGTCATAAACTACTATAATTAAACAGTAAGCATATACAAAGAGATCAACAGAACAGAGTTCTAAAACAGATTCAAGTTTATATGGAAACACTTTGTGGTATTTACAAAAGTTGGGTTACCCACCACCAAAAAAATAATACCAGCTCATCTGTCATTACCAGAAAAATTCAAAAGGACTAAAATCTAATATAAGAACTAAAACTGTAAAATCTAAGAAAAATTAGGGTTAGGGTACAGGGGATTTTCAAGACAGGACACTTTAAAACCAGACAGCACGCAACCAAAATGATGGCTTTGTCTATGTTGGTTAGGAACTAAAGACGAAAGAAAGAAAAAGAAACTGAGGAAGTAAGGGGAGAAACGAATTTTAAAATCAAAAGATAAATCAACTGTGATAAAATATTAGCAACAGGTAAGAGAGACAGTGGATTACTACCAGATGGTATAAACTGACAAGACAAACATACACACTCAACAATTCGGAGAAGAGAAAATACAAATGGCTAATAAAAACGCTCAACCTCAGGGTAGTCATGGAAATACACAGACCATCAAAATAACACCAAGCTTTCAGTTATCACATGAACAAAGAAGTTTTACATCATTTTATTGAAGTATAACTGTCATGCAATGAACTGCACCTATTTACAGTATACAATTTGGTTAAGTTTCGACCCATAGGCCTGTATTCTCACGAAATCATCATCACATTTAAGATATTCAAAACATCCAAAAGTTTCCTCATGCCCCTAATACGCATGTACTTACTTTTTAAATAAAACCTACTATATATATTGTTTTAATATTAAAAAGAATGACAAGAAAAACAAAACTTAAAAATCTGGTCCAGGGCCAGGAAGATAGCTCAGCAGCACAGCACCTGCCTGGCAAGTGTGAGGTTGTGAGTTTGATTCCTGGTACAAAAAAAAAAAAAAAAAAAAAAGAAAAAATCTGGTCCAGAAGAAATAAAGAGGAAAAATACAATCAATAAGGGAAAGTCAACATGCCAAAGCTGTGAATTACTGTTCTACTCTCAAAAACACATTTGTGACATGCCTGGAAATAAAAATCCCTAACTGTTGTCCATTCAAAGGTTATACAGCTTCACTCATGTTTACAGCAGCACAATTTGTAATAATAGCTAGATCCTGGAAACAACCCAAATGTCCATCAACTGTAGAATGGACAAAAAAGATGTGATCTTTTTATACAATGGAGTACTATTCAGCCATAAAGAAGGATAAACTGGAAACTTTTATAGGTAAATGGATGCAACTCAAGACCATACTCATTAGTAAAACAAAACCAGACACAAATGTGCAAACATCATATTGTCTCCCTAGTGTGAGAAGCTGAAAGAGTAAATAAGATCCAAAATGTACAACAGATATTGTAAAACAGGAAGAAATTGTTCAAAAGGAAAGAGAAACTGGGGTGAGAGAAAGGACAAAAGAAGGAAGGGAAAAGCAAAATATATACACATATATATGTACAGAGATACATATATGTATATGAGATAGTTAAGTTATCTTAACTATTTTAACTATTAGTAGTTATACTATTAATTTCTCTGAGTTTATTGAAAAGAAAGGTTTGTACTAATATTGTTTAGACAATTAAATGCCTATATCTTGTACTGAGTAATTTAAAGATAATATGCAATGTATTAACTGTTGTTACCCTATTATCTTGTTTTGAATTTTTTTTCTCTTTGAAATAAAAGATACTGCTTCAAAATTCAGCTGTTTCAGTGTTCAACAATCACTTCTACTTATTACTACGAATTGGTTTATATTAAAAAAAATTTCCTTTTAGTTCTTACAAATTATGCTGTAAAAATATTAAGCTTTTTACCCATAAAATGTCTCAGGGAAAGAGTCTGTCTCCT